TTGTTATGGTGATTACAACATCGGTCAAATCTACCAAACCTGTACAGAGATTCATTAGTGAAAATCACAAATAAAATATAAAGTTGTTTTCTTAAAAAAATATTTGATAACTGTCTGGACATTATAAAGATTTCGCATGTGAAATTTGAAAATTTTCTGATGCTTAAGATTATTTTTAATCTTAAAATGAAAATTAGTTTGCATGTTAAATAGGCAACATGGAAAAAAGAAAAAAAGGCATGAGAAAAACATTGCTTTAAAACCCTAAGATTTAGTAGAAAAAATTGATATTTTGTATATGGAAGCATTGTAATGTTTACTGATAATCTGCCAAATTTGGTTAACGTATGCTTACTAATTTAAAAGTTATAGCATGAAAACTATAACAAGCACAAAAGGGTTATGAGGTTGGTACCAGTACTTGAAAGTCAGATTAATACATACCATTATCATAACTTGTAAATGAAGGAATACACAGGATACCACTGAAATGTCAGGTAAAATTTAACTAAGATTATTAATAGAACTTTAAGATAAAATTGTCAACAACCCTTTGCAGCAACACTTGTACATCACAAGTTGAAAATGTATTTTTTTGTGTTAGAATTTGAAGTAAAATATTTATTAAAGGCTATAAGCTGTAAATGTATTTTACATATATCATCTAACTATAAATATTATATAACATAACAGTATGAATCTAACCTACACTACATCTTATTCTTAATTTATGATATAGTAACATATTTACAGTCCACATTACATCCTTAATATACTTAAAAGAATATACTTGTTCAATCTGTATATATATATATCCGTGTCAGTGTAAATTACTTGTACCTGATGATGACAAAATCTTGTCGAAACGTTGTACATTTGCGGTTATGTTAAACTTATATTAAAGTTTTTCTTCATTACCCATTCAAGCTGTATCCAGCCATTATTAGTCTCAAAGTGGGTTCCTCGTCATCGAATTTGAATACTTAAAAGAAGTTTTGGGGGGGGGGGAGAGGGAGGGGGATATGATGAGCTTCAACCATCTTTATTGATAATGTGTTTGAGTTTTTCCAAATGTGGATGAAACTTGTTTTATTGTCATAAATGAACCTCAATGTAATATGTATAGTCATTAATACCTTTTGAAAAGAGTATGTGTACTAGTATACCTGTGGGCTATATATGGCCCACATTTACAGGGCTGCTATAATGTAAGTTTAATGCTTAAACTATTATGTTGCAATTTGTCACTATAATGCAAATTTAATTTCCTTAACCAAATTATGAATGGTAATTAGTAGGCTTACTTAGTTAATGTAAATCAATGCCAAATATGTGATCTGCTTTTTTTGGCAAAATACCCGAGTTCCAGGGTTAAGTGAAAAGTTTTCATTTACAAACCTTGGGGCTGGTATAATTCATTTGGCACCATTTAGAAGTCAGAGTGACCAGCAGTTTAGGAGGAATTACATACACAGACACTGAATCTTATTATATTAATTATATACACTGCAACTTGAAAACCTTCCCAAGCAAGATCATTGCCATTTTGGTTATCAGCAAATTCCTATTGTTGCTAAAAGTGTGTGATATTATGTTAAGTGCACTGAATGGTATATTTATTTATATTCTCACAGGAAGAGTTTAGTGAAGAAGAAAGTATTCCCTCTTCTCCAGTGAAATCTCAGCCTGTAGGAAGTGAGAACACTTCTATTCCAGTGCCAGATCCTGAAACTGATTGGAGCTTCTCAGAAAAAACAACTCTTCGTTCTTCTCAGCACTCAACATACAGGACTGAACAAAATTCATCTATACAGGCTACAACTACAGGCTTTCCTGATCATTCAAAGGAAGTTCATCCTCCTTTGAACTTCAATTCATGACCACTAAAAAACTAGACTTGTACATACCTAGTATTCAGTGGTCATTCATATTTCTTTTATTATCTATTTTTGAACTTGTAAGGTCATTATCAGGATCTAGTCAATTTTTAGTTGATTTTACTTTACACCTATTTAAAATGTGTATATTTAGGAACAGTTTATTAGTTTTTTACATTTAGGAAATATATTAGCTTTAATCGTAAATGTGTGTATGTGTGTTTTTATATATATATATATATATATATATAACACACACACACACACACACACACACACACACACACACACACATCTCAAAAATAAATAGACAACATGATGTTTTTCAATAGTCATTTATCTCACATTATCAACTTGATAAAAATGTTTACAAATGTGCATCAGTACTTAGTCGATTTGCCACTAGCATTTTTCAGTGCTTTGACTCATTCTGGCATGGAATCGACGAGTTCTGTAATTTTCTCCTGTATGATCTTGACCCAGGCTGCACACAAAACATCAAGTAGCTCTCCACAGGATGCTGGTTTTCTGAAACTTCTTCTCACTGCTCGAGCAGGTATGGCCCAGACATGCTCGATGGGGTTCATATCAGGTGACTGACTTGGCCATGGGAGCCGTAGGATGCCTTTCTTGATTAAATGACTATTGAATAAAACATCATGGTGTCTATTTACTTTTGAGATGTCTCTGTATATATGTTTATTTACACAAACACATATATGAGTGTAAATGTAGTCATAATTTGTATAGCTGTTTTTAAAAACTAATAATTTTTTCAAAGAACAATTAAGGCTTGAACTGTGTTAAAACTTTATCTTAGTATTGCTTTATTCAGGTGGCAGAAAAAAAATTATTCAGCTAGTTTATGTAAGTAAATTTATTTTAAAGTTAAGTTTTATTATGATTGTTGGTTCTTTATTCTTTTTCCAATTTTGATAGCAACAAAGTCAGTCATACAGAGAAAAATATAATTCAGATGTTGTCAAATCACTATGTAATACAATAACATTATGAAGTTGGTTAAAGTTATGTGCTAAAATCATTTTGTAATAATTTTGAAATATGTGGTGATATTCCTAATAAATTATGCTTACAATATGTTAGAATTTAAGAAATGTGATTACACAAAGAGAGATGAAAACATTGAAGTGGTAAATTTTATATATCATTTCAGATCATTAAGCCGAAATCTGCTTATACTAAATAAACCAAAGCTTAAAAAGAAAATACAAACTTCAATAAGACTAATGAATGTTTAGCATTGTTTCCATGAAATCCTAGAAGGTGACCTACTCAACAGGAAGGCATCATGAAAGCATGTCTTTTATTTTAATTTTGCTTTTTTTAATTATTAGACAGTTTTTATTGGCTGTATAGAAAAGCTGTCAGAAGGAAATAATCAAATAAGAGCAATAAACCTAACAGGAATATGTCATGTTGTAAAGTGGACTGTCCTAGGTCTGTAATTCTGCTATATAAAATTAAAGGAATGCCATTCCTTTTCTGATATACAATGTTTTGTGTGAAAATATAACTAACTTGTTTCTTGCCTCGTTTGAAATATGAGAATGTTAATATTAATTTAGTGGAATCCTGAAAAGGTAAACAAAATTAAGCTGTAAATATTGTAAACAAACAGCAGGTAATCATGCAAAATACCAGTTACACTCAGCTTGAATTACATGACTTCTTGACAGTTTAAAATCTCCTGTTCATTGTATTGTTGCACACTTGTCACAAGAAGCCACTACAGTTCTCTCTGTGAGTGAGAACTTTATTATATTTTGAAAATCAGTGAAATAAGGTAGTTTTTTGATGTTTTTGTAAAACAGTAACAAAGTTTTTAAAGTCTCTCTGATTCCTTTTTCATCACTAACCAATAGTAAGTAATAAATAAGTTACTTTCTTTCAGTGTACACTCAAATAGATTTTGATACAGTTAATCTGAACAATCGGAGTTCAGTAGTTTCTTTTTTCACCTTACATGCTTTGCTTTTGCTTTATTATTTATTGATAATGTAAAACACTATTTAGTAAAATAATGTATAAATAAGATATCAAAATAATGCTAGTCCCTCTTACGTAAGAGAAGCTAAAAGCCCAGTTAACTATAATTTCACAAACTTATTCTAGCACCCTCAACTTTTTTTTTAATTCCATCCAAACCCTTTTCAAAGCATACAAGTTGAACTAGTAGCATATTTGTAGGTTGATTTATCATAAGAACATTAAATTTTTCTTGATTAAGCTTGACTGTAACTTCATTTTCACAATTATGAGATTTTGACCTACTCTCACATAATCAGTGACTTTTATGAATAAAAAAAGATTAATTTTAGTGTTGTTTTTTAAATCCTGTTTTGTTGTATTTTGTACTTTCACTGCAGTATGGTAGAATTATAGGGAAGCAGAGACATTATTTTCTTAGACTATATAGTTAGCAAAGAAAACTTAATTATTTAAATGAGTGGTTTCTCTCTCTCTCTCTTTCTGGAAAAAACAGTGTTGATGAGGAAATATTCTGTTTAAATTTTTTGCATTTTTAAATAATGAAATATTTGAATGGAAATGCTGTTTTGACTATAAACACTTCAGTCGGCAAACGTCTGACAGTACAGTGATATATTTAACTTAAACATTCAGCTGGATGCTGAAATTAATTAGCTTTTATTTATATGGAAACCCATTCATCAAAAGTTTTTCAGTGTATATTTTATATAGCTCATGTTTGAAATGTTTTTTGGTTGAGTTGTATTTTACTTTAATTAATGTGATTAATAACCTTACTAGGTTGACTCAGAATAGTGTTAACAGAATTGAAGGTTTGTATTGTGCGAGTTAAGCTACCAGTTTATGTACGTATAGTGTTGATGTACATAGAATTTTTAGTTATTTAATATTTTGTTTTTGAACAGAAATTGTTTAACTGGTATTTTGTGAGTACTAAACCATACTGAAAAAATAAAAAATATTTCAGAAAAACTGTTTGATTTTATTGTATGTGACAGTCATAAGAATTGAATCTTTTAAATTCTCCTTCTTGTGCATGTGAATAAGTATCCAGTTTTAACAAGATGAGAATATAATTTGCACAAAAAGTATACAGTATCTGTTCATGTATATTTTGTAAAGTTTACTTTAAAAATTTAATTTCAGATGTTAGAATAGAAATCATGAATATGTATATATGTGTGTTTGTATAAATATGACTGATCTCTATTATAAAAATATAGCCCATCAGAAAAGTTGGCTAAGTATAGTATTAGTGTTCAAGAAGTTTTAGCTGTTGTTGTTATTGGATGTGTTTTAAAACAGTTCTGCTTATGAATGATATACAAATGTAACCTATCAAAGCAGATTTTCTGTTAATGATGTAAAATATTAAGATTATGTTGATAGATGAAATTTATGACAATGTTTTGGTTCTATTTATATGTGCAGAATTCTGTTTATATTATTTTTATTTTTAAATGAAAAACCATTCCTTTTATGAGTTGTTAATTTTTATAAAGTTATTAGTTTTGTATGATTCTTTGATATACATATATATGTGGAAAAAATATACTAATACTACTACTAGAAATGCTTTAAAAGTACAGATACAATTATCAGGGTTACTGTTCACAAAAGCCCTTATCTACTACTTTACTAAGCTTACTTGATGTATAGTTCTAGTTAATATAAAGCTATGAGCTAGATATGAGCTCTAAATAAATTTTTTATATATTTTGTTTTAGTTAAATGGTAGATTTTTTCTCTAATGAAAGTTACTTCAAAATTCATTGGTATGTATAAAGACCTTTTAGACCTTGCTGTGACAAAATAAAATTTTTGAATATCTAAACATTTATTGAGCAGACTTGAGAGTTTTAATAGTACAAGATTTATCTTTTTTCTGTCCATTTTCAAAAGATGAAGTTTGAACTGATTCTTGCTAGAAACTCGTGTGTAAAGTGTATCCATGCTCATACAAAACTACATGAATAGACAGTTGTCACTTTAACTGTAAGAAATGCTTTCCTCTTGCTTATTCACAATTTTGTATGTTTCTCTAATGACTATGTGCATTCTTCTTTTGTTATTATTGTTAAAAGGCCACATGAAATTAGAAACATGTTTAAGCACACTTCTTTTATTAACTGCTGTTAATGCATTTTTTAAAACTTGATAATTAGTATTTTATTAACTAGAAAGAACTACAGAAATCTTAATGTGAGAGGGTAATTAGGAATTTCATTTTAAAGAGCCTGGAAGTCATGTAAATTTGAAATTGTGTCCTAACAGATGTTTTCTCTTAGGCTTTAGTGCAGTCTCTGAGTTAATAGAACTTTGCTTGTGAAAACCTTGTTTTTTTCCTGAGGTATTAGAAATGTAGCTCAATATAACCATCCTTTGAGACAGTCATTACCCTTCTCAAATTTACACATTAGCTTCTATATAGACATAAATTTAATGTGTTTTTGTGTTATGTATTGTACTAAATACTAAAATAAAGTATAAATGTCATTGTACAGAACTAGTGTGATTTTTTTACTGTTTTTATGGGTCAAACGCACAAATTTCAAACAACAATGCTAGTTTCTTTTTTAATTAAGAAAATTGCTGATTTGAAGTATGTAGAATTTGAGGTTTTACATTTTCTGGTTAAATATGTTTTGATTAGTCAATGTTAATTGTGTCTTCTAAAAGTTAGCGTGAATGAATGAATATATATATATAAAACTTTCTAAATGTTGAATGTAGTGGTTAGCTTGGTGGACTGTGAATCCAAAGGTCTGTGATTCATGTTTGTTGCTGTAAAGTCACTCTGTGTGTTTGGGTTGTGGGTGTGTTATGAGTGATCATCAAATTATATATTGAATTATAATAACCCAAGAACTGGTGGTGTATGTGCCATTGACTAGTTGCCTTATCTCTAGTATATCAGCGATTGCTAGCAGAAGTAGACCTTATGTATACATCCTTACACAAAAACCAAAATGTCCAACCAAGGAAGTTGATATTCAGTCATATTAGGGATATAATACAGAAAACCATATCACGGTATCCATTTAAGGTTCAAAGTGAAAGCTCGGAAAAATATCCTAAATAGACCTAAGGCCCTGAAGACAGAGAAGAAACACAAAAGATAGTTTAAAATGTTTTTACAGAATAAGTATCATTGGCTTAATAAGAAATATCTCGAGAAGATAACAGATAATGCATGATATAGTCAGGCTTTGAAATTACATCCCACACCAATCACAATCAATCTCCTCATTAAAAAAAATGTGAAAGTTGTGGTTACAAACAAGAAAAGTTCAATCCAAAAAGCTCTTGCAATAAGTGATTTGTGACTCTTTTCATTCAAATTTAATCCAGCTATTATAGAACTACTACCATCATTGCTGTGTTTAAGCATTGGTGTCCCCCCTCCCCCCCACTTACCTTTGGTTTTAAGAAAATACCATAAAGTTTGATAAACTAAATTTATCAGTGATAAGGAAATAATTAAAGTATATTGTATATATTTACAAAATTGGTTCATTATTATTTTGTTATAAACTTAATATTTTATTTCTTATTATTATACTTGCAACATGTGGTAGGTCCAAGGTAACTGCAACTTTTGTCCATTGGATAAAATGGTCCTGATTACCATCTACCTTTTGTGTATTCTAAAAAAAGTATTAACAATAAAAAAAAAAGACTTCAACATTATTTCAACTAATAATGAAAAGACAAATAGTTGTTTAAGTTATTTGGATTACTTTCTAATGGTAAGACCTAGTGTTAGCATGCCATACTAGTGTTTGAAGATTGATTCAAGATGTAGTGTCACCAAACTAACTGCACTTTCATTTCTGTAGATATTATAGGAGTGACAGTCAGTCCATCTGTTTAGTTAAGAGTAGCTGCTACAGAAGGAGGGTGCATTCTCTCTGGCCAGTATTTCAAAATTAGTAATGGCTCTGCCTGAACCATAGGGATTTGTAACTTTGCTTATTGAGTGCATAGGATTTTTGTATTCTCATATTCACTGATTAGCATTTGAATTGATAAGGTTAGAGCCACATATTGACTGGAGATGCCAGAAAATGTTGTATAGAGTGAAATCTTGAATTCTCTTATCCTCAACTAAGTCTGAAAAAAAAAAAAAAAGACTTATTCCAAACATAGAGTTTTAAAAGATAAGCATACTGTGGCACCTTCACTGAGTGTATATCCTAAGGTAGCTTTCTGAGAATTATCTTGTTCCAGACTGAGAAAGCATAGTATATGGGGAAACAGTAATGCCATTCTTTTCAGGGTATAGGCACAACCTGGTAAGCTTGCTACAACATCTCTTCCTGTTAACTTCAGGCTAACACATTGTCCCTGACATTAGATTTAAAAACCTATTAAAATAACTTTTGCACTGGTCTGCAAAACATTTGCTCAATAATGCAAACAAATATAACTTTACATAAAAGATCACAAATTAAAACATGATTAAATAGAATACAATATCATGCTAAAAACAAGTTACCATTACAAATATTACATACAGAAAAAATCTTAACAAGATCTTAAATAAGATAGACCATTAAACAAAAATTAAGACAACCTATTTTATTACAAAAACAAAAACTTCAAAATCAATACATTAAATAATACTTTCTAAAATAAACAAAAATTAAGACACAACACAAGATCAAAGTCATTATATGATAGTGAAAGGAAACGAAATAAAACCTTTTAATAAAACAAAATGAAAAGTGAATTAATACATACAAAAAACTCAAAATATTTACAGATGCACCTCCTGATGCATTTTATACATTACACATACTTTAATTACAATATATATATATATATATATATATATGGATGTATATACAAACATGTAAAAGAATGAAAACAATTAAAAAAGAAAATGGTAAATACTTTTTCAAAGAATAGATATATATACATTAGGTAGAGAATTCAGAGCTTCTACATTTACTGGACCCTTGACAACAGATTTTCAAGCAGAGTGGTTGACTTTCAATGAACTTTCTAAGTTCGCAGTAGATTGATTTGGAGATGGAATACATCTTCCAGCTGAGGAGAAGGATCCTTATACTACAGGAAACAGTATTCCTCTCGGTTACGAAGTACTCTGGCCTCCATCTACCTGACTGCTTGTTCTGGCAATGACAGTATATCTGTTGAAGCATAAGGGGTTTTTAATCTTAGGGTGTTGTTGTTGTCAACTTTACTTTTGCTATCCTTACTGGCTGTACCTTAAACATTTTTCAAAGGCAATGGCAGTATAACATTAATATCCGCACTCCCACATTCATATCCATTGTAGTGAGAGCTCCCTCAATTGATGGTAGGTCTGTAATTGCTAGGAGGGATCTATCTGTAAAGGTCATGACAACAGCTCGCAGCTAACCTATAACCCAGCCACGTTTCTTTCATTACTGTCTGGCTGTTATAAACAGAGCCCCAGGTCCAGCAGGAAAGAATGATTGGTGAGGATACAAACTATGGTTCCTACACAACTAATTATAAAAAGGTCACTGTACAGGCTCTAACCTTGTTCTTCTGACCGTGGTAACTCATTAACACCAACATATCCTTTCATTTCAGAATCCCTTTCATATACAATTTGGCACATATAAAGGCAATGGAGACACAACACTGCATAGGTGTTACTTCTCGCAGTCTGCACTTCCATGCATTTCATTTACACCTTGTACAGAAATTATGAAGTACAGAAAATATTTAGTAAAAATGCATGCTTCTCAAACTAGTTCAACTGCATAATTGAAAATATTCAATCATAACCAAATAAAGCTTTAAGTACACCAAACTTACGTTCGGTGTGAAACAAGTTACTATTGTGAAGTTCTCTTTCTACAAGTAATTTCACCTAGTCACGAATATTTCATTTCGATCTAATCAAAATGTTACTTTTTTACTGCTAGCAAAAACAACAGGTTAAACTATGTTTTATTGCAATCACAGCATGAGTCTAGTTGTTACTTTTACCTCTTCCACGAAAATTAACTAACTGCTGAATATTTCAATGTAAAGAATGAGACATTGTCCAATGAGCAATGATGAAAATGTCAGGGGTACACTCTATCTCCAAATAATGCCTTACAGACCAATGATCACAGTTAACTTCATATCTCAAAGTCTTAATATCCAGAATTTACCCTTTATTTTGATGTATATGTTACATATAGTGCTTTATAATATGTCTTATATGTATGTTATAAAACACTCATGAATGACTTTGTTTAATACCACACACGTTTATTTATTCATATGTAATAATTACCACGTACATATATCTCAGTGGTACAGCGGTATGTCTGCAGACTTACAACGCTAGAATCCGGGTTTCGATACCCGTGGTGGGAAGAGCACAGATAGCCCATTGTGTAGCTTTGTGCTTAATTACAAACAAACAAACATATATCTCAACATTACACACCATCGCATACATGATCAGTACAGTCAGACTGCCTCTAGCTCACGTGTTGTTACCATGATAACATACAGGCCCATCTCTAATAGCTATAGCTCGAGAGATATAGTGTCATAATAAGCTGCCATCAATGAGTTGTTAAACTCAGTTCGTTTTTTATCATCATCACAAAATAAATAGTCATAGGCAGAATTCGGCTAAACTAAGAGTTTTTGAGTGCAAATTCAGCCAGTATTAATGTTCATACTGTCAATATGAATACAAACAGAGCTAAATATACTTGACCCCCAGTGGCACAGCGGTATGTCTGCAGACTTACAACGCTAGAATCCGGATTTCGAGCACATTTAGCCCATTGTGTAGCTTTGTGCTTAGTTACAACCAACTAAATATACTTAATATTTAATAGAGTAACTGAATTATAATGATATTGTACTACTATTTATGATTCGATCCACATTTAGTTAATGTCACATAAAAAAGAAATACAGATAAATCCAGTGAAACAAAGACTAATTCAGTTAGATCCATAACAGCCTGATAACAGAAATAAAACTTTTTCACTGCACACTATGGATATATATACATTTCAAGTGTACTGAAGTCTAGCCAACATCATTTGGTATTCTCTGCTGAATTTCCGTCACTACCTGGCTTGACAGGATGAGTAATTTTCACAGAATTTTTGATTACCTTTTGCTTCGGAAAAATCACTTGAACTGCAAGAATCATAATTCCCTATTAGTCGAATTTTTCGATCTCCTGGTAATCATCTTCCGTTGTACAAGATGATAACATACTAGACTGGTATCTACTAATATCAACTGTCCTAACTGTATGTTAATCAAGCAGCTCAGAAAGCAAGGAACGTCATTTTCTTTCAGTCATTTACCTTACAATCAGTGGTTGTCCCTACTACTGATCCCAGTCATAGCAATAAGGAAGCTATCTGACCATTAGAGCTGTCTCACATCTCTTCTACAGGCATCTCATTTGGCTCATCTCCCACAGCCAGATAATTCTTTTTAGTATCTTCCTCCTCGTCTGCTGAGTAAAGAAAGTACGAAAAA